CTACAGATATTGAAAAGAGCGAAAAAAATATTAAAAGAACATGAAAGATTCAAAAAAAGTGTATATCGAGATTCTATAAATGAAAAACTTGATGATGAAGATTTACAAGATAGCTTAGAAAAATTATACAAATCAATAATAGATAGTCAATCTGGAATAAAAGAAGGATTATCTAAATTAGAAAATAAAGCTGATCAATTAGCCATTACTTTTTCAAATCCTGAAGTAATAATAAAGCAGTAGCAGAGCATTCCATGCCATCTGAAGTTATAAATAACATGACATTAGGAGCTATTGCATCAAGTTATCTAAAGTTCTTATCTGCTAAAAAAAGTAAAAAGGTATCAGATGCTACATTCGGCATACAATGAAGATGATAAAAAATTTTACATTGGTAAAAATTCTGATAATTATTGAAGGTAATGATATAACTATTAAATATAAAAAATACATTGGAACTCCTGATCTTCGGGAGTTAACAGTAAAATCTGCTCCTGTTAAATATAATAATAATGATCGTAAAACGTATAAAGAAATTATAGATTAAACAGATGCAATTTGCACTGATTTATATTTAGTTAAACCGAGACCATCTAGATGTTATAAATACACTTTAACAATTAAGCCAATTTGGGAAGAGATTATTAGAAAATCTGAAAAAGATGTCATTATTCTTCCTTGCGATTTAAATGCACTATTTGATATGCTTAAATTACGTATAGCTGCTTAAAAAGCAGGTAACACTGGAGCAAGAAGTGAAGCTGTTGCTATTTGTGATGAGTTGTTACAACAGGATGAAATAGATAATGATGATTATAAAACATTACAGAATATTATAAAAAAAAAATTTATGCAAAAATAAATTAAATAAAAAGTAATGTCTATATAAAATGACAAAGTATTATAAAATTAAAATTGATATTTTAAATAGTCAAAAAGAAAAAATTAGAAAAGCAGTTGAACAAAAAACTGGAGCTGTTATAGAATTATCAAATAGTGATCTTAATGGTGATCATGTTATGGCTTTAACACCTACACAAACTAAAATAAAATCAGCATATAGAAAAGGTACTGATGTAAGGCTTAATCTAAGTAAATCACAACTCATCTATAATACTAAAGTAGAAGAAGGATTCTAATTCTACTAGGATTTGTTGGAAGTCTCATAGCTTTAAAAGTTGCTTCAGCTATTGCAACAGGATTACTGACTGTAACAGCTGCAGCAGCTGGAAGCACTATAGTAAATAAAATTGCTGGAAATGGAATTATATATATTAAAAAGGATGGAAGTGGAACAAAAGTTAGAAAAATAGGAAAAGGAATGTTTCTAAACACATGGAGTGGTAGTGAAAATTATTCAAATGGATATTATCTAAGAAAAGGAAATGATTATTCATCAGTAGGTAGAGGCTTATTATTAGGAGAAAATTCTCTATTTAAGAACATACCCTTATTAAGTTTAATTTTTTAAATTAAAATATATATTCGCAATAAAATATATATTTATCAATACCTTTTAGGATCCCACAACGAATTTTGATAATAAAATAAATCTAATCCACTTCTATACTTTCCACGATTTTAATCAGAAGACAAATCAATAAGAACAAATCAATGTGGCTCTGTCCAAGATTTATTACAAAATTTTTTAAACTTATCTTTTGACATATCATTTGAAATATGATCATTATAAATATGATTTACATTTTTTACATATTGTTTCAACAAGCATACAAAATTTCCATTTTCTCCTATAGTTGTCCGGTAATTCAAAATAATTTTGTGCCAAGTAGAAACAATCTAACATTACTATGTCTTCCTCTTATATAGTAATTTTCACACTTTTTTTGATTTGTTAATTGTAAATCATCAAATATCATTAAATTATTCTTATTAGCATCAAGATCTTCTGGTTCTGGTACATCATCCGCTGTTTCAAAAAAATGACACTCAATATCTGTTTTCTCTTTTAAACTTTTTGAAATGTTTTTAATAACAAGTTCTGGACATGCTTTTATTTTTTATTTGATCTTGTAACTTGATTAAATTAAGAATAACTTCTTTTGGTATTCTTTTTTCAAATGAACTTTTTAATATTTTGTATTCAGGTTGAAAAAGAGATTTTCCAAAAACTTGTAAATTATTATAATCTAACCAACCATGTCTTTAAAATAAGTTTAATAATAAAGTTGTTTTTACACAACCTAATTTTCCAACAATAATTCCACTTATACTTTTAAGTAATAACTCATTATTATTTCGCTTACTTTTATTTACGTTCCATGATAAATCTATAAAGTCCATTTAATATATGAAAAGATTTTTTTTTAAACTAAATAAATTTTTAAAAATAATAAAGTAATAAAAAATGTACTGCGTTAAATGTAGAGAGAATACAAATACACTCAACTTACAAAATGTTGTGAGTAAAAGCAATAAAAATATGCTGCGTGGAAAATGTGCCATTTGTAATACAACAAAAACTCAATTTACAAAAGGAACTAAAGGAGGTGATTTGGTTGAATCTATTAACAAATTTACAAGGAATAAAAAGTTACCATGGCCAAAATTACCAGGAGAAATGCATTTACCAGGTATGAAATTTGCAGGACCTGGCACTAATTTAGAAGAAAGATTAACTGCTACTGATACACCTAAAGAATGGAGTAAACCAGTACATAAAGTCGATAAAGCAGCTTTATTAATGATCTTGCTTATAAATATAATCAAGAGACTCCAACTTGAATTATAGCTGATGAAATAATGCTTAAACAAATGGATTCAATACCAAATTCTAATCAGCGTGAAAAATAGAACGAAAGATTATTAAACTTATCTAATCTGCTGAAGCAAAGTTTGGTATGGGAATTAAAGAACCAATAAGTATTAAAGAATTATGTCAAAAAAACGACCAGCAACCAACAAAAAAAGCAAAAACCTGAAATTGACTGATGAACTTGCAAATGATTTTCATAAGCCTGTTGTAAAACGTTAAAGGAAAAAAAAATTGATTGCAAATGGGATTGATTAAATATGGACTGCTGATTTAGTTAACATGCACACTTTTTCTAAATATAATAACGGTATAAAATACTTGTTAATGGTGATAGATGTATTTTCGAAGTACGGATGGATCGTTCCGTTGAAAAGTAAAACTGGAATTAAAGTTGCTCATACTTTCAGTAAAATATTTAAAGATAGAAAGTGTAATAGATTATGGGTTGATAAAGGTTTAGAATTTTATATCAAGCGACAAATGAGAAAAAAAATTAAAAAAATAGAAAAGAATAAAAAATAAATAGAAGGAATGCAAGTAAGCATAAAAGCAATCAAAAATATGGAAAATAATATTCAAAAAGAAATTAAAAATATGAAAAAGATGAAAAATATAGTAGATATGATGCAAGTAAGCATAGAAATGATTAAAAATAAAGAAGGAATGAAACGAGAAGGAATAAAAGATATAGAAGAAGAGAAAAAACTAGTAGAACGAATGCAACATAAAATAGAACAAATAGAAGTTAAGAAATAAGAAATAGAGAAAATGAAAATAATTGCAAATGAAATTAAAATATATGTAAAACATTCTATAATAGATAAGTAAGTTGCATCATTCGAACTTAAATGAATATAAATTTATTTGAAATGAATTAAATAATTTTCTTGTCATAATAAAAATAAAAAAGATTTAATAAAACAAGAAAGATTAGAAAATTAAATAATATATTTAGAGAAATTGAGAATATGCCAAATAAATGAATTTAAAAATGGAAATAATATAAAATATACAATAAAATTTTTTGTTTGAAAATGACATAAATAAGTTTCTTGACATAATAAAAAAAATGAAAAACGAAATGCAAAACAAATTGTTTTATGAAAGTGAAGATAGTGAAGATGAACGCAGAGTAGTGGTTAAATTAGATAAAAGTGATTATGAAAGTGATGAAAGTGAATATGAAAGCGGAGAGAGTGATTATATGATTCTGGATTTGAAACAGAATATGAAGAAGAAAATTCTTGCAAAAGAGAAGAAAGAAGAAAAAAACTTAAAGAAAAAATGGAAGAAAGTCTTATAAGACAAGGAATAGTAGTAACAAGACAAAGATTAAATGATTGTATAATAAACGAAAAAAAAAGATTAAGAAAAAAAAGAGTATTAAGAAGAAAAAGAAATACATATGACGAAAGAATATAAAGAGAGAGCGATTGGTTTCATGAAAAATGGAATGTAATAGTATTACAAGATGACCGGATTTTTCTTGTGTGACCGATGACGTCACACAAGAAAAATCCGCGACGACAAGAAACGAAATTATCGCTATTTTGAAAACTGATTTTTAAATTTAAAAAATTGATTTAAAAATTGATTTCTTAATTATTCAATTTATACACACGATGGATGACATTGCACCATAAATTTAGTTAAATTTATGGTTAAAAATATGGTTGAAAATGAAAATGAGGCAGAACTGTCATCTTTCTACTACTATAGTTCCTAAACTTTCATCTTTACCGACCCAACTAGCATTAGCCAACTTGTGTCTAAGTTGTAATACAATAGTCTCCATGCGTCGTTTTTGAAACTTGTTAAGTTTTTTATACGTCTTCACTCCAATATTGCAATTTTGATTGGTTAACTTGTGGGTATCTAACGTGATGATAGTGACTAAAACTAGTTTATCAATTATGACTTGTGTTAAAACTCTATGTAGAGCTAGGGTTTTAATATATGCTCCATACTCAGATTTTTCCATATTTAAATTTTCTTTTTAAAAGTGTTTAAAAAGAAAACTTAAAAACAAAACTCAAATGATTTTTCTTATAAACATCAAAATATTATGACTACTTAAAATGTTCGTAATTAAATAAATTAAGATGATATATACATACAAGTTATTTCTCGTTTTATTCTAAATGTATAGATCAAGTAGATTTAAATAAAAAATTTTAATTTTAAATAACCATGATAAATTAAATTTTTAATTAACTAATGTTACCTTTCCAGTTACTATTATTTGAAATTTTAACCCATATGTTTTGGTAAGTGTTCGGTACTGTTTATTATTTACAAAAGAATAGTTAGCAACTCTAAAAAAAAATTTTCTTATAAAAGTTTTATTAATAAAACTTTTATAAAAGTAACTTTTTAAAAAAGCCTTTATAAAAATATCAAACAGCATGTTTAAAAGCAAATGTCCTTTAGACTTTAAAACAGCTTTAAATTGTTAAATAAATATAGTAAAGTGTTGTAAATCCAACAGCTTCAAAAATGTAAAAAAAGAAAAAAAGTGTTCATATAATATACCTGTAATTAAAACCAGAAGCTAATCTATCATTTGGATTGTCAAGTCTAATACATATAAAAAGTATTACACGCATTAAAAGTTACGTTATTTTGTTGTTTTTTAGTACTCTTTAAAATTAAAGTTTTGATTATAAATAACTACTTTGTATTAAAGTTCTTATAAAAAATTCAATACAAATGTACAAAATTTATTCAAAGTTACCACCTTTTTATTTTATAGGCTGGAATGCACTTTGAAGGTACTTCATCTAAGTCACAATCCCATTCAACAAAAACACCAAATATCGCACCCTAAAAGTTACATATTCAACATTCAAAGTTGCTGTTTCTAAACTTTTGTTTAATAGTATAATAATTGTTCAGTATAAAAAAAAGCAAAATATATATATGCCAAAAGTTTATAAAATATATACTGTTTATAAGTTATATGCTGTATATCAGTGTAGCATATGATTACTACCCAGCAAAAATGCTTTCATCGGACCGTGATGCGTAAAGCCGCCTGCATGCCGATGCTGGTCCACTGTAAAACTTAATGCGGGTTGCCACCGCTGCAGACATGCTGAATACTTGCTATGCCATTTTTTGTTAACTTGTCGCTGCCGTCTGAAGAGCGCTAGTATGTTTAGTTGTAAAACCGTTTCTGAAATGGCATGCCAGCATTGGTAAGTATATCGCGGTCCAATGTAGTTTTACAAACACAAAGACAGAGCATGCATACACCGTGGATCAAAACTAACACCGTGGTTTAAAACAAGCCTTTATTAGCTTATTTAAAGTCTATACAATGTACCTAGAAATACACTGGAAAACAAAGTAATCGTTTTATAACACAATTTTATAGTTATAAATTAGCGAATTATGTAGATAATAAATATTTTGAAAGTATCAGTTATATCTAGTTTTTACAATTATTTAAAGTAAATAAATAAAGTTATAACTTTCTGGTAGTTTAAAACATATAATTATTGGGGCATAAATTTAAATGTTTATTTATGATTAAACATTTTAATATATATTGGTGATTTGAAGTATTATATATTTAAATATTAACTAAAAATAATCCAATAAAGGATACTGTGATATTTCTTATTGAAAACATGTTTATTTATAGTTTAGTTGTATATAAATGTGTATATATATATATATATATATATATATACACATATATATATATACATATATATATATATATATATATATATATATATATATATATATATATATATATATATATATATATATATATATATATGTATATATATATATGTGTATATATATATATATATATATATATATATATATATATATATATATATATATATATATATATATATATATATATACACTACCGCTCAAAAGTTTGGAAGCAGTTAGATTTTTTTACAAAAACATAGATAAAAAATATTTGGTGTTTTTGTTGAATGGGATTGTGACTTAGATGAAGTACCTTCAAAGTGCATTCCAGCCTATAAAATAAAAAGGTGGTAACTTTGAATAAATTTTGTACATTTGTATTGAATTTTTCATAAGAACTTTTTTAAGAACAGTTACACTTTAAATTAAACTTTTACCAACTATAATCAACATCTGTCTTTCAATATCTTATATATATAACCAACTATCTGTCAATATTATTTATATTTTTGATTCATCAAAATGTCTACCTTTATTTTTAATCATAGTTGCGCAAATGTGGGGCATTTTTTTTATTAACTTAGTAAAATATTTACAATCTAATGAGTACCATTCTGTTTGTAGGTATTCCCACATGTGCCTAGCACTACTTGAAGATCTGTTTTTAACCCTTTTATCCAACTCGTCCCAAACTAGCTCGATTGGTGACAAATCAGGTGATTGGGATGGCCATATCATAATTTCTATAAGTTTTTCTTGTTTTTTCTCATTTAAATAGGACATACACAATTTTGAAGCATGTGTTGAATCATTATCCTGTTGAAATATGAAATTTGATTCTATAATTTCATTTCCAGAAGGCAAACCGTGCATAATTTGTAAATATTCTTCTTTGTTAAGTTCGTTACCTATTTTTACTAATTTTCCTGGCTTATTTTTTCCGAAACATCCCTAAACCATTACATTACCTCACCATATTTAATTGATGGCACTGAACACTCTGGCAAAGCCCTTTCATTCTTAGATCGTCGGACAAAAACTTTTCTGTTTGAACCGAAAATTTGAAATTTCGATTCGTCGGTCCAAAGTACATTTTTTCATTTTTCAAGTGTCCAATCTTTATGAGTTTTAACCCAAGCCAACCTGTTTTTTAATTGTTGTTTAACTGTTGAAACTGACACTGTACTTGGACAAATTTCATTTAATCTCGCTGCAGTTTGGGGGGATGTTAAACGACGGTTTCGCTTTGAAGTTAGTTTTATAAATTGATCTTCATTTACTGTTGTAATTTTGGGTCTTCCACTACGTTTCCTGTCTTGATTACTGTTGGTTTCTTGTTGCCTTTTTAATGTATAATGAACGCCTTTTGCAAAAACACCCAGTTTTTTGCAATTTCCTTTTCACTATACCCTTCACCTCTAAGTGCACAAATTGCACTTCGTTTATTAATTGTTAACTATGATTGTTTTGCCATTATAAAAATAAAAAATAAAAAATTGTCAAAAACATCACTCAACTATAATTAGTCTAAGACACTGTTATTAAAAATATAACTAATCGGTCTGCAAGTAATTAACTGACTGAAAGATGTTTACTAATAACTTTGGTAACATAATTTTACCGATTTCATGTTCAGACAGGTTCAGACGTGTTTGTTTTGTTTATTAGATAAAATGACTTCAAAGCGTCTGTTATCTTTAAAAATAAATAAAATTAGTTTTATAAATCAGATTCGATTAAAAACATACAAAAGTATATTGACTTGATAGAAATGAAGTAATTATATTATAAAAATTGATTTCATCAATATATACTGACATTATATTCAAATTAACTTCTTCTAAACTTTTGAGCGGTAGTGTATATATATATATATACATATATATATATATATATATATATATATATATTTATATATATATATATATATATATATATATATATATATATATATATATATATATATATATATATATATATATATATATATATATATATATATATATATATATATATATACACTACCGCTGTATATATATATATATATATATATATATATATATATATATATATATATATATATATTTGCACAATTTTTTACACTATTATGATTATTATTGTTATATCAAAATATATTTAAATAGCATAAAAGTACTAAAACAAATACAATAAAACAGGGTTCGGACTGTCTGCGCAGACAGTGTAATTTGTCTGCGCAGACGTCAACGCGGACAAAATTTACTTCTTTGCAGACGTTTTTTCAAAATCAACAAAAAAAGTTTTAAACTTAAAAAATGTTTTAAGTAATGTTTTAACTATATTATATATTCAGTGATAAGTAACAATAGGAGTTTTAAAGATTCTTACAGTAATAATAAAAATATAATGCTGGCGCCTTTTCAGTGATTTCTTGACATTCAATTTCATTTAGAATGGCACCTTCTTCAAAAATGTAATCATTCTTGTCATTTGTATCCATCAGCACGTTATTGGTATACAAGAGTACTTGCTTTTTAACTCTCTCTTTAGTAAGACAATTTCTTAGTCGCGAGTGAATCAATCGAAAGGTCGACCAAGCTCTTTTTGCTGTAGCCAACGAGCAGATCATTTTGTTAATAGGCTCAGCAATTTCGTAAAGAGCAGCAAATTTATCGCGACCGATAATGCTCCAATAATTTTGCGCGTTCATCTTGAATATTGTTACCTTTCTTTTCTCAATCAGCGCAGCCATTTTTCCTATAAAAGCAAATACTTTATCCTCAGCAGTGTCAGCAATTTTAGGTTATCTTTTAAACAAATTAAACTGTAGCAGTGATAAAATTTGTTTTATATTCATTCAAATATAAACCTTCTGAGGCATTTTTAGGCATTAATAAAAAAGCAATTCGAATACCTGGTGTAAAGAAAAAATTGAGGCGAGGTTGCACTTTTTGTTGCATTTCTTTATCGTTCATATAAGAATTGTACATTTGACCAAAGTAATGATACACGAGAGAAAATAGAGCTTTATCACTTCCTAGTTTTCCAATCACGATGGAAGGAAATTCAATGCTTATGACATGCTTAGAGAGACAGTGCCAAACTAGGTTAGATTTTATCAACGCCATAACAGCAGCAGATGTATTACTTGACTAAATTCCTTTCAGCAATGTACTTTCTTCTTCTACTAACCTAATAAAAACGTTTATAGTTGGAGACTGCTCATTGATTTATAATAACTAAATTATTGTGTAGATACAGGAAGAGAAATATTTGCTGCAACTCGTCTTTCATCAAACTTTGCTTTCACAATGTGATGATTTTTCACATATTTGATGATTTTCTCTGCCTATTTTACTGTTTTTGTGGCCTCAGTTGTAGAAACTATGCCCTTCTCAAGCAAGTTGACTCCATGAGCTCCGCATCTGATAGCCGAGATGTGTGGATATTTCTCCTTGATGATCTTCCACGTTGATTTCATAACAGGAACGTTGTCGCTTATGAAACTGGTGAATTTTTGTGAGCCAATCTTCTCAATAACTTGTAAGATTGCCGCGGCGAATGCAGATGAATTTTGAATGAATACGGATGTATTTACAGACGTGTAAAAAAAAGGCTTCGTATTGGGCGCTTTAATACAAAAATTCATTATGTAATAGCCTCCTATGTCCGTCCAGCCGTCAGATATAAGTGTTGAGTTTTCAAAATTTCATTTTCAGAAGTAGAACATTTTGTGTATCGTTTGTCAAGCAGAGATCCTGATAAGGCTTTAGCATTCGGGATGACAGGTGCGTACAATGGATTGAGCAACTTAATAAAATACTTAAAGGCCTCCAATTCTACTAAACAAAATGATATACCCGTACGGAAAATGAAATTAGCAAGATTCGTGTCGATATCATTTGAGCTCTTCAATAATTAGTGGATGTTCATGCTGCGTGGGTGAATCAGACGTAGGCGGAAGTTGATGAGAATCATTGTTAAAATAGTGTTGTAAATTTAAGTACATGTTTTAAAAAAATAATGCATATGAAAATGAATTACATAAACCCAGCAAATATGTTTTTATTGGACCGTAATGCATAAAACCGCCACCTGCATGCCGATGCTGGTACACAGTAAAATCTAATGCGGCTAGCCGCCGCTGCAGAAATGCAGAAGATCTGCGGTACCGT